CCCTCAGTAGAGTGCCATGGCATCACAGCTCACAGCAACCTCAAACTCTTGGGCTTAAGCGATTCTCTTGCTTCAATCTCCCAAGTAGCTGGGACTACAGGTGCCTGCCACAATGCCCAGCTATTTTTCTGTTGCAGGTGTCATTTTTGCTTAGCTGGCCCAGGCTGGTTTGAACCCACTAGCCTTGGTGTATGAGGCTGGCACCGTAATCACTGTGCTATGGGTGACAAACCCATGATAAGCATTTTTTTTTTTTAAGACACAAAGTCTTACTTTGTTGCCCTCGATAGAGTGCTGTGATGTCACAGCTCACAGCAACCTCCAGCTCTTAGGCTTAGGCAATTCTCTTGCCTCAGCCTCCTGAGTAGCTGGGACCACGCGTGCCCACAACACCCAGCTATTTTTTCACTGCAGTTTGACCAGGGCCAGGTTTGAACCCGCCACCCTTAGTATATATATAGGGTCAGTGCCCTACTCACTGTGCCACAGGTGCTGCCCAAAGAAAAGCATTTTTAAACTTAATAAATGATACCAACATACTTCACACATATGGGTAAACACTGTTTCATTAATCCTGTGTGTATGTATAGACGCATATATTATTAATTCATGGGTTTTGCAACGTGCTGGCTAACTCATGCTACAGAATTTATTTCTCACTATGAGTTAGAGACATATATTTGTGAAACATTGTACAATCATTATACTCCCCAATACCATGTCTGATTTCAGAATGAGCTGATCTGTTAAAATGTACTTACTGTATATCTTCAACTGGCAAATTTAGAGGATACTCTGCATTTTTCTTCACCTTCATTTCATTCCAGTAATCATTCAGCTTTTCTCCCAGTGCTGCTATTGTAAGCCTTAAAAAGTACATCACAAATTCAAAAAAAATAAAGATTAAATCTATATACATAATAGAAATCATTAATACTCTTGTAATGTTTAGATGAACATGGTGAGAAGGAAAAACTACAAAATGTACATTTAATGAAGAATACAACATGGGCTTGAACGGCAAGGGCCCACTTATAAGATTTTTTTCAATAAACATTGGAAAAATTTTTACAGATTTAAAACAGTTCCAAAAAAAAACACAGATGAATCTTGTAGTCTAGAAATATTGAAAATAATTTTTAAAAGTTGTCACGAATGCATAAAATATATGCAGCTATTAGTCTATTGTCACTTACTGCCAATAAACATATACAAGCTTATAATAAAAACATACACAAACACAGACCTCACACAGCATCCTAGGTGATGAAACAGAAATAGAAACAAACGTAAAGATCCAGTATTGTAACTGTAGTACACACTGTACTACTGTAATAATTTCATAGCCATCTCCTCTTGCTACTATGGTGAGCTAAAGTGTCTCGAGTAGTGGCTAAACCATCTGCACTTGAGCAGTTTGTCTCTCCAAGAAATCTGGAAACATAGCAAAACATGCTCCCTTAGCTCTCATGTATTTTTTCTTTTTTTTTCTTTTGGTTACAGAGTCTCACTTTGTCACCCTCGGTGGAGTGCCATGGTGTCACTGTTCACAGCAACCTCAAATTCTTGGGCTCAAGCGATTCTCTTGCCTCAGCCTCCCAAGTAGCTGGGACTACAGACGCTGGCCACAACGCCCAGCTATTTTTGGAGACACGGTCTCACTCTGGCTCAGGCTGGTCTCAGACCTGTGAGCCCAGCCAATCTACCTTCCTCAGCCTCCCAAGTGCTGGGATTATAGGCATGAGCCGCCACACCTGGCCCACGTGTTTTTCTATTATGTTTGGTGCTTAAAAATTACCAGGACCCCACACGAAAGGCCATTAGTGATGCTGTAAGTACTCCTTATAGTGGAGTAAAAGCGGAGAAAAGTTATCTCATTAAAAGAAAAATTGAATTGCTTGGTACATGCTGTAGACTGAGATCTGCAGCTGCAGCTGCCCAGCACTATAAGAATAATGAATCCAGCGTTAAGGACCAGTATTTAAAAAAAGAAAACAGAATTTATGAAGCTGTTACTGTAGCTAGACCAGCACAGGTGCAAAAGCCTTGCATTTTTTGTGAGGTACCTTTTTATGTTGTACTGAAAATGCAGCTCCTATGTTGGTGCAGGATCACTGAAGAACATACCTATAGTCTCTACTATGACTCAAGAAACAGCAAAGGCATTGTATGAAAACTTAACAAAAAGGTAAAGGTTCCAAAGCTGAGGAATTTATGTCAATAAAGGCTTTAATAATTTTAGAAACAGGTTTAAAAAAGTCAAGATAACAAAAGAAGTAGCTTTTGCCAACCAAGAGGCAGGAGTTCCTGGATGCAATTAAGAAAACATTTCGGAGGAAGGTTATATGCCCAACCAGGTTTTCAACACAAAACAAAGTGCTCTGGGGAAAAAACTGCCACAAAGGACACTTACTAGTAAGCACGAGAAGCAGGCACCAGGATTTAAGGCAGGAAAGGATAGGCTAAGCCCACTGCCTCGTGCAGTCAGGTTTATGATTAGGACTGACCTTACTCTATGAAGATGCTAAGCCCCAGCAATGAAGGGAAAAGAAACACCAGATGCTAGTCTTGGTTGTACAAAACCTGTTGTGCCTGAACAGTTATGTTAAATGTTATAAGACAAACAAACAAACCCCCTCAAAAAACAGGAAGAAAAAAAGAGGAGGCGGCATAGACCTCAAGAACTCTTTTCGTTGCTTTATAGCCCAGGCTGACCTGGCCTCAAGCAATCCTTCCACCTCAGCCCGCCTCAGCTACTTAGGAGGTTAGTGCCTATGCCCTGTAAAAATCCTCTTTTTTTTGAGACAGAGTCTCACTTTGTCACCCTCAGTAGGGTGCTGTGCGTCACAACTCACAGCAACCTCCAGCTCTTGGGCTTAGGTGATTCTCTTGCCTCAGCCTCCCGAGTAGCTGGGACTATAGGCGCCTGCCACAACGCCTGGCTATTTTTTTTGTTGCATTCGGCCAGGGCCAAGTTTGAACCCACTACCCTTGGTAAGTGGGGCTGGTGCCCTACTCACTGAGCCACAGGCGCCACCCTTCTAAGAACTCTTTTTCTAATCAGTTCCTTCAATGCTTTGTCCCTGACGTCAGGAAGTACCTTGCCAATAAGAGACTGCCTTTTAAAGCCTTTTAAATAATGGACAATACTCCCGGCTACCCAGAACCAAATGAGTTTAACAGAGAAGGTGTCCAAATAGTACCTGCCCCCAAACACATCTCTAATTCAGCCTCTAGGGTCTCCATGCCTGAGCTCACAAGTTTGAGACCAGCCTGAGCAAGAGTGAGACCCTGTCTCTAAACGATAGCCAGGCATTATGGCAGGCGCCTGTAGTCCCAGCTACTTGGGAGGCTGAGTCAAGAGGATCACTTGAACCCAAGAGTTTGAGGTTGTTGTGAGCTAAGATGTCATAGCACTCTACTGAGAGGGACAAAATGAGATTCTATCTCAATAAAAAAAAAAAAAAAGACAGCACTCCAGGGAAAGGATATCAGTGCTGTGGAAAAGAATGGAACCAGATAGAACATCATGAAAGTCTGGAAGGACTACACCAGGTGTCCTCACTGTGGCCCGCCTAGGACATTTATCTGGCCCACCAGGTGTTTTTACCACCTCTGCCTGTCCTGCTTAGCAGCCAACTCGCCCCAGGGGGGCAGTCCAGCCCTCCAACGGTCTGAGGGACAGTTTAAAAAGTTTAAGGACCCCTGGACTACACCATTAAAGATGCTATTGTTACAGAAAAAGATGTGAAAGCCGCCAAGCCAAACATAATCAACTCCTGCTATGTTCAGATATTATTCATAACTTCACGGGATTTACATTAGAGACAATTAAGGAAATCATAAAAGATACTGTGAATGTGAGATGTAAGGTGAAAGGTTTCAAAACTGATTTTGCAGAAATTCAAGAGCTAATAGATACCACACCAGAGAAATTAACAATATGACGATGGAGATAAGTGCTTCCAAAGCAGTGCCAAAGAGGAAGACGACACAGAGGAACAGAAACTGACATACTAGAAAATCTGGCCCAAGGGTTTACTCAATACTGCTTCTGACTACTTTTATAATATGGACCCTTCTATAATACCGGCACTGAGACTAAAGCAAATAGTGAAGGAAGAGTGGTACTATACAGGAACATTTTTAGAGAAATAAAAATACAAGAAAGGCAGACAGAAATTTTTGATCTATTCCATAAAGCTACACCAACTACGCCACCTCTCCTTTGCCTCCTCCAACTCCTACACCTCTGCCACTCCAGAGAGTGAGACCAGTCAACCCCTCCTCTCCCTCCTCTGCATACTCAATGTGAAGATGATGAAAACCATTATAATAATCCACTTCCACTTAACAAATAGTAAATATCTATTTTTTCATCTTTTCCTTTTGAGACAGAGACTCCCTATGTTGCCCTCACTAGAGTGCTGTGACATCACAGCTCACAGTAACCTCAAACTCTCAGACTTAAGTGATTCTCTTGCCTCAGCCTCCCAAGTAGCTAGGACTACAGGCACTCACCACGTGTGGCTTTATGTTGTTGTTGTTGTTGTTGTTCTCGTTGTTTAGCAGGCCTGGGATGGTTGGAACCTGCCTGGCTCAGTGTATGTGGCCGGCGCCCTAACTACTAAGCTATAGGCGCTAAGCCTAGTAAATAGATTTTCCTTGTAATTTTAACATTTCCTTTCCTCTAGCTTACTCTATTGTAAGAAACAGTAATCTACATAACATACAAAATATGTGTTAATTGACTGTTTATGTCACTGATAAGATATAAGGCTTCTAGTCAATAGCAGGCTACCAGTTAAATTGGGGGGGGTGTCAAGTTATGTAATAATTTTCAACTACATGGGGGTTTGGGGTGGGTGGTGTTCCTAATCTCTGTAGTGTTCTGTGTCAACTCTATATTTTGTCAACTACAGGTACAGATTGAGCATACCGAATCAACTTGCTCAGGCTAGTCTTTAACCTGCGAGCTCAGGCGATATGCACATCTTGGCTTCCCAGAGTGCTAGGACTGCAGGTGCGAGCCACCACACACAGCCCTTACTCATGGTTTTCTAAGTGTTCCCTTAAAAAAAAAAAATCACAAATGACCATAAGGGTTTTCATTTTAACATCAACATGGTAAATTCTATTGATTTTTGAATGTTAAAACCACCCATACTATCTGGAATACAGCCTCCTGAGCTGGTTTTATCCTTTTAAGATGTCACTGGATAGTATTTTATTTTAATAAAGATACTGTTTATCATCATGAGATTGACATAAACTTCCTGCTTTATAATATACTCGAGCTTATTATCAAGTTTATGTGGCCTCATAAAACCTTTAAGAGAAAGTTTTATTAACACTCCAAGTACTGCTGCAATAAACATGGGAGTGTAGATTCCTCTTCAATATCCCACTGACGTTTTCTTTTTCATCTATACCCAGCAGTGAGATTGCTGGATCATATGGTAGTTGTATTATTAGTTCTTTTGAGGAAGTGCCATACTGTTCTTCATACTGGCTGCAGTAATTTACATTCCCATGTCGGTGTGGAGGGTTCCCTTTTTCTATATACTCACCAGAATTCATTAAAGCAGTGGTTCTCAACCTTCCTAATGCCGTGACCCTTTAATACAGTTCCTGTGGGTACAGACCCACAGCTTGAGAACCACTGCATTAAAGGCTAAATTAATTTTTTAAAACATGGGATATATACACACAGAATATTGTTTAGCCATAAAAAGAATGAAACCCTGTCACTTGCAACAACATGGACAGAACTAGAGTATATTATCTTAAGTGAAACAAGCCAAAGAAAAATAACACATGTTCTCACTTGTATGTGAAAGCTAACAAAACAAAACAAAACAAAAACCCCTGATCCCATGGAAAGAGACTGTAAAATTATGGCTACCAGAGGCCAGGAAGGATAGTGGGGAGACAGGGTTAAAGTGGGGTTGGTTAATTGGGAGAAAAATACCATTAGGAGGAATTAAGATCTAGTATTATCATGATAGCAAGATAGAAGTAATTTATTACATATTCCAAAATAACTAGAAAAGTGGAATTGGAATGTTCCTAACACTAAAAAAAGATAAATGCTTGAGGTGATGGATACCCCAATAACCCCGATTATTTACACATTGTATTCTTGTATCAAAATAATACATGTACTCCATAGATATATGCAATCATTATACACCCACAAAAATTCTAAGTTAAAAATTTAAAAAAGGATGGACACTGTCTGTGGCTCAGTGGGTAGGGTGCCAGCCCCATATATCAAGGGTTGCCAGTTCAAACCCGGACCTGGCCAAACTGCAACCAAAAAAATAGCTGGGGCTCGGTGCCTGTGGCTCAAGTGGCTAAGGCGCCAGCCACATACACCTAAGGTGGCGGGTTCAAATCCAGCCCGGACCCGCCAAACAACGATGACGGCTGCAACCAAAAAATAGCCGGGCCCCAGCTACTTGGGAGGCTGAGGCAAGAGACTCGCTTGAGCCCAGGAGTTGGAGGTTGCTGTGAGCTGTGAAGCCACGGCATTCTACCCAGGGGGATAGCTTGAGGCTCTGTCTCAAAAAAAAGAAAGAAAAAAAAGAAATAGCTGGGCGTTGTGGCAAGCGCCTATAGTCCCAGTGACCTGGGAGGCTGAGGCAAGAGAATCGCCTAAGCCCAGGAGTTGGAGGTTGTGTGAGCTGTGATGCCACTGCACTCTACCAAGAATGATAAAGTGAGACTGTCTCTTAAAAAAAATTTTTAAAAAGGGCTGGAGGTGGTGGCTCACGCCTATAATCCCAGCACTCTGGGAGGCCAAGGCAGGTGGACTGCCTGAGCTAACAGGTTGCAGACCAGCCTGAGCAAGTTTAAGAACCCCATCTCTTAAAATATATATATATATTGCCCGGTGTTGTTGCAGGCGCCTGTAGTCCCAGCTACTCAGGAGGCTGAGACCAGACAGTCGCCTGAGCCCACGAGTTTGAAGTTCCTGTGAGCCATGATACCACAGCACTCTACTGAGGACAACACAGTGAGATTCTGTCTCAAAACAATAATAATAAAATAAAAATTAAAAAAAAATGCCACTTCCTTAAATGTTTGAATTTAGTGAGAAGTTTTGAATTGATTTAATTTCATTATCTATTCATTTTTTTGTTTGTTTGTTTGAGACAGAGCCTGATGCTGTCCTGGATAGAGTGCCATGGCATCATAGCTCACAGCAACCTCCAACTCCTGGGCTCAGGAGAATCTTCTCCCTCAGCCTACCAAGTAGCTAGGACCACAGGCGCCCACTACAACGTCCGGCTATTTTTTGGTTGCAGCCATCATTGTTGTTTGGTGGGCCAGGCTGGATTCGAACCCTCCACCTTAGGTGTATATGGCTGGCGCCTTAGCCACTTGAGCCACAGGTGCCGAGCCTACTCTTTTTTTTCTTTTTTTGAGGCAGAGTCTCACTATGTCTCCCTCAGTAGACTACCGTCATGTCATAGCTCACAGCAACCTCAAACTCTTGGGCTTAAGTGATTCTCTTGCCTCAGTCTCCCAAGTAGCTGGGACTACAGGTGCCAGCCACAACACAATGCTGACTATTTTTTGGTTGCAGTTGTCATTGCTGTTTAGCAGGCCCTGGCCAGGTTCAAACCTACCAGCTCCAAGGTACATGGCTAGTGTCCTAACCACTGAGCTACAGGTGCCAAGTCAGAATGGATTCAATTTCAAAGGAACATGACCATATTATCTAAAATGGTAAAAAACTATTTATGCTAGCACCTTAATATTTTTATTTCTGTAGGATCTATAGTAATATCCTTTTCAATTCTAATATTGCTTATAGATTTTATCAATCTTATAAAAGAATAACCTTTTGGCTTTTTCATGTCATTTATCAATTTATTGTCTCTAGGCTAGTGCCAAATCCAGTCCAGGTTCTGGCACTCTACTGTCATTTGGCCAGAGCCCAGTAACATCCCAGAGGAGTCCCAGCTGTGCCCCCAGGCCATCCTCTGCCCACTAGCAGTCTTCTGCTGGTTCCAGAAACTCACAACCTCAAGTAACACAGGGCACTTTCTGCAGACTAGCTCCCATACTCTCTGGCAACACCAGACTCTGTCTACAGACCAGCACTGGCCAGGCCTTCTATTTACCTATTTAAATTATTGACTTCTTTTTAAAGTTTACTTTGGAAATACTTTCAGAACTTTTCCTAAGCTAATTTTTTGCAATCTTGTGGATATTTTTATACATAATTACCTATACCTATAAAATATACACATACCTTAATATGTAATTATTAAGGTATAATTACATTATAGAATTTAAGAAAACAGGTGAGTGAGGAGCTGAGGCAGAAACTAATTTTACTGTCTTTTCTGTTATTCTAGAAATTGTAATCTATTCCATCACAAGTAGTATATTCTAACCTATCTTTACTGATGAGGTATTTCTGAGATTCAGGAAAAATAAGGTAAGTTCCTGCTTTCTTAGTAATCATTTCCTAGGAATCTCAGTCAATAATTTAAATAGGTAACATACCTGTACTCATTAGTATAGTCGAAATCTTGTTTATTATGAGTTGGCTTAAGGAAATTACATTCTATAATTCCAACTACTCCAACACCCATGTTGTTGGCCTGAAAAAATAAAACAAAATCAGCATTTTAAGCATAAGGTACGATGCTCAAAATAATTACCCTTAAACAAAGACTTACAGTTTGTATAAAATATTATGATTCTCATGAAATTGAGACTGAAAAAACACTGGTAAGGAATATATGTTCCTGAGAGTGAATTCCCAATATTTAGAGCTTTCCTCCAAAACCACTTCTACTGTTGACAAGTACCCCTTTAGACAGTCTTATCCCCAGTTTTCTACGAGGGAGGGAAAAAGTACTTCTACTAGGGTACAATTTCTTCAAGAGCAGTAACACAAGTAACTCATTTCAGTATGTGTTGTGACCAGCAAAGGCTCTGGCACATAATATTCCAAAAAATTCCTAGACAGAAGTTAGTAGTTTACCCAGATGCTAATGATAATGAAATAAAAACATAGGTCATTTGGATTATTTTTTAAACCCTGCTAGCTAAAATACTGAACTTAAAGTATATGACTCACAGGCATATTTTATTTATGATTATAGCTCACTTCTGAGTCTACAAACAAAAAGGAAAATAACATGTAACTTATAAAATGAAAATTTTCATTATCTACGGACCAAATCACATGAATCCAACTGTCATGCTGCTCTATTAAAGACTATCAGTGATTCCTCATCTTGCACCACTTGTGAACCATAGTAAATAACAAGACTCCCTCAATTTGTAGTTCTTGTCCATCTTTTTTCCAGCGGCATCTTCCTCTCTCATTCCTGTTCTCCATTTAAAATATGGTTCAGACACAGCAAACTACTCCCCGTGTAATGTCATACTCTCAGAAGCCTCTTTCCCTTCCTTTGAAGATGTATTTTCTGCCTAGAAAGAGCCCTTCCAGACTTTACACAGTAAAGTCAACGGAGACTCATCTCAATCAACACTTTCTCAATGAAACTTTTTCTGATGCTTCCAAGGATGTTCCATCGTTCCCACCAAATTGAGCTCTAAGGGCACACTCAGTATCTTACCATGTTTTTATGCTGAGCATCTAGCATGGCAAATCATAATGGGTATCTGATACCTCTTTAATGTTTAATGAATCCACAGAATGCAAATATCAGGCCCAGTTTATCATGTAGTAAAGTCAAATGTTACAAGTTTGCAGTAACAGTCTATTTTTACCAGCATGTAGGCCAGACACAGTGGCTCACGCCTGTAATCCTAGCACTTGGGAGGCCGAGGCAGGTAGATTGTCTGAGCTCACAGGTTCAAGACCAGCCTGAACCAAAGTGAGACCTTGTCTCAAAAAAACAGCCAGGCATTTTGGCAAGAGAATTGCTTAAACCCAAGAGTTTGAGGTTGCTATGATGCCACGGCACTCTACCAAGGGTGACCAAGTGAGACTTTGTCTCAAAAAAAAAAAAAAAAAAAAGAAAGAAAGAAAAAAGAAATTGTGCACAATGCAAATTTAACTGGGTTGGAAAAATGGGCTAATTTCTCAGTTAAGTCTGATTCATAAATCATAAAGAATTTCTTTTCTGTAGCAGATACATTTCTTTTAAAGCCTGAAACATTAAGTCCTATTACTAAAAGCACATTTCTAATCACCAATGAAGTACATTAACTTTACTAACACATCACATAATATTTCTGATAAAAATGAGTATTTCATTTAGAAATGAAAAGTATTTTAGCTGTCATTGTACTTTACACACATATGAAGTGGCTGCCAGATTTTAAAATTTATTTTCTGACTGAAATTAGTAGTTTCAAAGGTGAGCCCAACAAAGTTCATTTACTTCTGCAAAAATGCTATATTCTAGGCTTATGCTACATAGACTATGTGAAGCAGAGTTAGAAACCCCTGTTGAATAATATTCAAGAAAAATTTGCACTATTATACTAAGTAGAGTAACCAGAGAACTGTAAAACAAAACTATACCTAAAAGCTTTAAACAAAGTTGTTTTTAAGAATTAACCCTGAATTCTTAAAATAATCATAGGATTCCTATCAAACGCTGTTCAAAAGAGGTGTGCCTGTGTTAGTCTTTCTCTCCCTCCAGGTCTACCTGAAAGGGGAATGGGGGTTAAACACTCACGTATAGGACTCTTAGTCTCCCTATACCTCTAACAGTCTAACTACTCTGAAGCAAACAGGACTTCTTAGTCTTTCTCTATCCGGGAGGGTCTCTAGACAATTCATTTAAAAAGTCAAGGGTAAAAAAAAAAACCATAGGATCAGTATTTATTCTGGTTCTGTGAAACCTTCTTTCCAGGTAACCCTCCTACCTTCTACCAGCCCTCCAGCAGGTGTCCTTTAGTATTTTACACCACATCCCAGTTACTGACTTATGGCCTGCCCACCACCTCCTGAACTACACATGTATCCCTCCTAAAGAGCATCAGAATGTTCACCGAATGGGATTCAACTTGGGGCTGATGCCATTTTGGTGGCAGACCATCTGCTGGTGGATGTTCTTAATAAATTCCTACTATCAATTCTACTCAGCCTGGTTCTTTGCAGTGCCTTCAACTCTAAAATCTAATGGCCTGTGTCTGAGATTCAGAGTCACTGTTAACTCTTACGCAAGTTGCTTAATCTATTTAGTAGCCTCAATTTCCCATCTGTAAAACGGGGATAAAATAAATATTTTGTCTCTTGCCCACAGGATTGTTCAAGATCAACTGAATAATATAAAAGTTCAAATGCCATACTAATATTACTTTAAAAAGTCTGACATTTAAAAACTCATAGGTAAAAAAAGCATAGTAAAATTATGCATTTATTATAACTTTTGTAAAAAAACAATATTTTCTTTTCAAATGTAAAGCTTACCCTCAACTGACATCCAACTTTTTCATAGGCTTTGATGAGTCTATTTTTGTGATACATCATTATTCCATAATGATCTTTGTTTCTGCAGTTGAATCCAAAAGTAATTCTCACTGTTTTAGTCTTAAAATGTTAAGGAAAATTCTGAACACAACACCTTCTCACTTCAAGTCATCCTTTCTAATTCATTATTCAGTTAAGTATAGCAGTACACCATGCAGGCAAAGTTTGAGAGGATAAGAATCCATACAAGGATAAAGAGTGATAGGGGAAAAGGAGATAGGCCTGTCTATACTACAGATTCATAAAAAGGGAAAAAAGAAAGGATACTAAAAATTTGGGTCGGTAAACATCCCGCTCAATGTAGGCGAGACTCTTCGAAACTAGTTGTGTCTTCACCTTCTGTCCGCGTAAGATGATCTGCATTCTTGGCTTTAAGTATAATATACTGCAGTAAGCCTAAGAGGAAACATAACAATATTTGTCCTTTACAAATAATTACCAACAAGTTTGTTCAACATACTTAGTTGTGGATTTAAATAGAAACCTATCACCTTGTTTTGATAAAAGACACATTACCTTTTCAATAAAGTAATATAGATTACAGACCTATATGAGTTATTCTGATTTATTTTTTCATTAAAAACAAACTCAATATATTGTGGCCAATAAAAATGATACACAATATACGATCTACTGACCTATATGTATGTACTAAAGTATAATTGAGTGAATAAAAGTTATAAAACACCATGTATATGATCTCAATTTAAAAAATATATTACATATGAAAGGACATTTCCTGTCAAGTACATATACTGCTTTATAATTTAAAAAGCAGAAGTAAAATAAATGTTATTTAGGCAAAAATAACAAGAGTAACCTTGATAAGGAAAAAAGTTCTAAATAATGAATGTATCAATACTTAATAATGCTTTATTAAAATTGAGCTATAACAACCAGCAGTCATTACAATGTTTTCATTTCTTTTCGTAAAAACTTATTATTAGTTTTTTTTTTTTTTTTGAGACAGAGCCTCAAGCTGTCGCCCAGGGTAGAGTGCCATGACATCATAGCTCACAGCAACCTCCAACTCCTAGGCTCAAGCGATTCTCTTGCCTCAGCCTCCCAAGTAGCTGGGACTACAGGCACCCGCCACAATGCCCAGCCATTTTTTTCGTTATAGTTGTCGCTGCTGTTTGGCAGGCTCGGGCTGGATTCGAACCCACCAGCTCTGGTGTATGTGGCTGATGCCTTAGCCGCTTGAGCTACAGGCGCCAAGCCTCAATTAATTAATAATAGTATAGCTATCATACAACATACTGAGTCCAGTATTATCACTTCAAATAATCTAAGCACATAGTAAAAGAACTATATAAGCACTGAACTTAACGAAATCACAATTTAAAAAAAAGTTTTCTAACAAGCAGTAAACTAATAAAGTTTAATAAGTTGGTTCAGGACTGAGATACTTTCATTCAGAGACCACTGGTAGCCTTTGTAACACAAGAGGTTAACAAGCTCTCCTAATACTACCATTATTTGATTATTTTCTCATTTCCAAAAGGAGAGCGCAATACAGACCCGCAGGGAATAGTCACTCTCAGGGGCAATTTGGTCCATCCTTTCTTGCTTCTTGTACCCTTTCTTCCCTGTTGTCTCATCTAAATCCTCAGGAATTCTGATGTCATATTTATCCTTTTCAAAGTCGAACTCTGTTGAATTTTTGTAGCTGTAAAAATAATTTTTAGAAAGAACCAAAATTTAACTTCACAGCATGATAATCAAGCAAATACTTTCAGTGGCTAAAAAAAGAGAAAGTGGCCAGGTGCAGTGGCTCACGCCTGTAATCCTAGCACTCTGAGAGGCCAAGGTGGGTGCTGACTGGAGGTCAGCAGTTTGAGACCAGCCTGAATGAGATCTTGTCTCTACAAAAAACAGAAGAAATTAGCCAGAGATGGTGGTGCACACCTATAGTCCTAGCCATTCAAGAAGCAGGGGCAGGAAGATCGCTTGAGCCTAGGAGTTTGAGGATGCAGTGAGCAATGACACCATTGCGCTCTGGCCAAAAAAAAAAAAAAAGATTAAATAACAAACCTGCACATGGTGGACCTCATGACAAGGGAAAAGGCGCTAAAAGTAAGGGCCAAGGGAGGAATTCAGAAAAGAAGGTGAAGGGAACCCCTTTCTCTCATACATGGATAGAAGGAAATGACACAACCACTCGGGAAAAGTCTGGCAGCTTCTTAAAAAACAACTTCTATATGACACAGTAATCATACCTTTCAGAAAAATGAAGCCTATTATTTCCCACAGTAACCTGTACATGAATGTTTATAGCTGTATTTGGAATAGCCCAAAACTGTAAACAACAACCCACATATCCTTTGACAAATGAACAATTAAACATATCATTAATTATGCAAAAAAATGAGTACCACTCTGGGCAACAAGGGATGAACATAATGAAACCAACCCTTCCCACACATTTTACTTCCCAAATGGTCAACATCTACCTGAGGTCTGCATTTACCTTCTAAGGTTCCAAATGATGATTCTTGTCCCCTTCTTACCCATAATAGCATCAAGTTCTGCCAGTAACTCCTGTTCCGTAGAAAACAGAGAATGCTCCAGAATTGCAGCAAGACTGGCTTTTGATTCTGATAAATTAATCATCTGTCGTATATTGTAAGTTAAAGATTTAGATTGCCAACACATTTTTCACTATTAATATGGAAACCAACTCTATCAACTTAAATAACAGAAAAACTATTTTCTGTCTGAGTGCAGCAGCTCACACCTATAATCAATACACTTTGGGAAACTGAGATGGGACGTTCACTTGAGGCCAGGAGTTCAAGATCAGCCTGGGCAGGACAGTGAAACTTTGTTTCTACATAAACTTTATTAGCTGAGCGTGGTGGTGCACACCTACAGTCCTAGCTATTCAATAGGATGAACTAGGAGCATTCTTGAGCTCAAATGCTGGAGGCTACAGTAAGCTATGATAACACCATTGCACTCCAGCCTGGGTGACAGCCTGTCTCCAAGAATAAATAACCAAACAATTTTTCCTGAATTATTTTCTAAATTTGATTTCAAGTAAACACCAAGACAGATAAAAAATAAACATGTTTATTATTATTCCTAACAAATGCCTTCCAATATTTCAATATGCTTACACAAAAGGCATTTTCCAATAGCTATCCTACTTTTCATGGTCATTAGCAAAATTTTCAAGTATCAGAAATTGTGAATTGTATCAGTTCACAATAAACCTGAAATAAACAGAAGAGCTATGGAAAGCTTAACGTAAAATGTAACCACTTTATGCTGAAGATTCCTATGGTGCAAAACAGAAGATAAAGGAACAAATCCTTAGCCTCAGGTGTGGGGTAAAAGGCATGGGACTCAAGCAAGGTCTAGAATATATGTGATTCAAAAAGAAGAATTTGGAGGAAGGCAAAGGATAGAATTTTAGAATACTTCTTCAGCCGCGCCACAGCTTTTATTTTACAATCAAAAGGATATGGTGCTTGTTGAATGCCACTATTGGGACGACAACGTGTTCTGCTTTTATAATTTCCAAGTAGGTTTGAGACAAGAAGCCCACACTCATGCTTTCTCCATTTTTGGTAAAAACAATCGCATCTTTACCCAAACGCATAGAACCTGACTTGAAGCCATTCCCATACAATCCAACTGGGACATGACCATTCATGGTGACTTTGTCACTGAAGCCAAAGCTAAAAAGAAAAGATTTTTTAAATAAGTATCTATAATTCTTGTTTTTCTCTACATTCAACAAGTATAGTACCAAGTAAAAAGCCTGGATTCAGGTGCTGGCCTTCCTTCCTAGCTATATAATCTTGGGCACATTACAGTAGAACCTCTGTAAGTTGACTACCCAAGGGACTGTAACAAACTGGTCAACATAAGGAACTAGGCCTGCTGTACTGATACACAGATGTGGTACATGTTTAGTCTATGAAAACTAGGTCAACTTAATGAAGTAGTCGATGTAGGGAGGTGGTCAACTATGGAGGTTCTACTGCACTTTTTAATCTATTGATGTGTTCCCCATCTCTGAAATGAAGGAAACCAAATCTACAGGGCCACAAGGATTATGGGAGCTCACACTGCCTGGCACACCCTGGTTAAATGGCTGCATTATAATCTGGATTCCTGGGACCTTCAGATTTTACCCTATGAATCTCTTCCTCTAAGTTTGAAGATTCTCTTGTTTTCAGTAAGCCTATTGTGGAATGATTAGTAATGGTCACCTGACTTTTTTATGACAGCATAAGAAATAAAGAACAGCATAAAAACCTTTGCCTCTAAATTCTCCCTCTACCCTGCACTTATATCACTGTCTCTCACTATCCATTCAGGCACATTCGGAATCATACCAACATCCTACTCTATGGCTCTAGAACCCCAGGCCTTATAGCTATTTCATGTTTTCTCATTTTCTCAAACCTGTGAAAGTAACCCTCCCCACAAATGGTTAAGTTTTATTAGAATTACTTGCTAAAACTAATTTACACTAAAGTATGAATCAGTGATATCAATGTGCTACAACTCTAAAGAAAAGGTGGACTTTCTGGCAAGTCAGACAAGGGAAGGGGAAAAAATAAGAATAGTGGGGATTGCCTAATACTCTATTATTAAAAAATGATGGTCTCTTAAGAGAACAGATCAATCACACAATAGAGACAGCATTTCATGTTTAAAAAACCAAAACTAAAGACAAAAAGTATGACCCATGAAGCCCTCAACTAGGTAAAAGCAGTGATGTTAAGACGTATCACCCATTGTACATACCTCAGCATTTTATGTAATTTATCTGAAGTCATACCATTCCCATTATCAGTGAATGTCAAGCATATGTGGTTATTTATCACTGTTTTGTCAATCCATATCTGTTTAGCATTCACATCAGGATCATAAGCATTATCTGGGAAACAAAAGTTTTGAGAAATTCTGATTTTACATTTCAAAGAATAGCAATTAGTTCAGAACAATCCTATTTCAAGCTGTAGACTACTATTTTTAAGACAACTTTAAAAGTTGAAATTTTTAGTAACTCCTAAGATTTGAAAACATGAAATTAAGCTGCATCCACTATGTATTAATTGACTATTATACAAAATTAACACTTTCCAAAGCCTTCCATGTTAAACAGAGAGCAAAGATTTGTACCTACTGCACTGAAGAAGTATAAAGGAGAAAAAATCACTGCATTATAGAGGTAATTTAGAGAGAGAGTAGCCTGTTAAAAGAGGAACTGAGAGTTGAGTGTAACTAGCACTAGAAGTTGAAATGGAAGGTACACAATAGTTAGTGAATAAACAAGAAAGCAGTATTATTTGCTGCTAAACTACATAATAGATGGAAGATTTACCTTCTACTTATTTCTTCAAATGGTGGGTGGCCCTTATCAGTTTAACTCAAGTTTCTTTTTTTTTTTTTTTTTTGA